TGGCTCCTTCCTGTCTCCTCTTGATTCCTTTCTTTGTTCACTTTATTTATTCTCCAGAATTCCCACACCCCACACTCACTCTCATCCCCCCTTAAAGCAACATTTAAGTGTATTCAGTGAGTTCTACTTTTAGCATCAGAAAATTTTCTCTTTAATATATATGAAATATAAACATGTTTTAATATATAAATAATATATAGATATATATTATCGATATTCTCTCTCTATAAAGAGAATATGCTTATTTATATCTAATATGTATTCTTTATATGTAATTATATATTACATTAATTATGTAACATAACATAATATAGAGAGAATATAATATTTATGTGCTATATTTATATATTTGTTATTACTTTTTAACAGAAAGTGCCCAGTTTGGGCCTTGAATTCTAGTTCTGGGCCTTCCAGAGCCAAACTCCACCCTTCCTTCTTGAAGTATAGTCCCCGCCAGTCCCTCCTGTCCTCCAGGCCACTCTCAACCCTGCCACTCTTGTCCCAGCCCCTTGCAAAGCCGTGATCTAATTTGCTTTGGAGCCTTGCTCGTCCCCTTTCATTGTGGAGCCTGATACACCCACGCAAGTCCTGCCCTTGCTGCTTATTAGGTGGCTAAACTTATGTAAGTCACTTCCTCTCTAGAAGTCTCAGGTTTTCAGAGGTGAATCATGATATTAATAATTTCCACATAAAGGAGCTACTTCAAGTGTTAAGAGGTTATGTACAGAGAGACCCGAGCAGGTAACAAGCTCAAGAAATGTTCAAGCTCCATTTTCCACCCCAGGCCCCCACTGCTCTTGATGTCCCCACAGTAGATGTTCAGGATATGATTTCTTCTTTCTTTTCTGCCTTGACAATTGTTTCTCTAAGACCCTGGTTGGAGGCACAACTCCACCATCATCTACTACAAACCTGTTTTCCAAAGTGAATCGTGGGAGAGACGGTGAATCATGGGAGAGACGGGGACAAGGGGAAAAGTGACTTGGAGTTGAACAGAGCTGGAGTCCCAGCACGACCATATTTACCTGTGTGGCTTTGACAAGTCACCTAAGACAACCTGTGCCTCAGTTCCTTTACCTATAAGGAAGAAGGAAAATAATAGCACCTACCTCAGTGGCCACCTTCACTTTCTATCTCGCTTGGCACCCCTTCTCTTCCAACATGCTCACCTTCAGGCTCAGAATTTGGCTGGTTTGGCCTCACCCTGCAACTTCTGACCCACTCCATGCCCCCTCCCAGAGAAACCATGCCCTGGAGCCCAGAGGAACCTGCCAGGAACTAGTGACATCTCACAGGCCCTTTGAGGCAAGAGTGTGTGACCACAGGGCTGAACCCAAATTCCATTCCTCATCCAACCATTCATGCACCTGAATGCATGCAATAAATATTCACTGACCCTTCCTGGGGGGTTCAGGTGCCGGGCTTTGCTGGAGACAGAGTTCCTGCCTTCAAGGAACTTTTGAGCTGCTAGGAGAGAGAACACATGGGGGCAGACGGGGTGGAGGTGGGGAAGTTCTGGGGGCCGTGGGAGCCCAAAGGAGGTGATCCAATATCACTCGGGAATCAAGGTAGGCTGCTTGGAAGAAGTGACACTTGGAGTTCATCAGGTTTGGGAATTCAGTGTAAAGGCCTTCCACGGAAAGACACCTAGACAAGAGAGAGCCCGGTACGTTGTAGCAACCACTTGTCGTTAGTTCAGTGGTCAGAGCACAGCGTGTGAGGCTAAGTGTGGCAAGAGATGAGGCTGGAGAGATTTGGCGGAGGTCGGAACTCTGGATGGCCTTAATTGCCAAACAAGGAGCTAGAACTTTAATGCTACTTGGGCGGGGGGATGTGAAGGAAGAAAGCGATGTGCTAGTTTCTGCATCACTGCTCTCTCACTGCTGGTATGCAAAATAGTAGGTTGAAGATGGCCAGTCTGGAAGCAGGGAGACAGGGAATAGATTTGGGGTCGCTCATATGAGGGATGTTGAGGCTGAAGCAAGGCAGTGGCAGAGGATGAGAAAAGGTGGGATTTGAGAGACAGAAAGGATAACTGGACTTGGTGAGCTGGACTTGATGAGGGATTGGCTCTGATGAGAGAAGGGGGGGTTGGGATGCACATAGGCAGAGGACACAGGGGAAATGTATTGTGCAAGTGCCAAGGGGATGATTAAGGCAAAGATAAAGGCGGGAGAAACTCTGAGGGCTGAGAGATCAGTGTGGGCTAGAAGGGGCAGAAACACCTTTTTGGACAAGGAGGGATTCTGACTAAGACTCACCTTGTGACCTTGGGCCAGTCATTTTTTCTTCCTCTGGTTCTTTAGATTTCTACCTGCTGGCTGGCTCAGTCAGTAGAGCATGTGACTCTTAATTTCAGGGTGGTGAGTTTGAGCCCCATGTTGGGCCTGGAGCCTACTTAAAAAAAGAACGAAAGAAAGAAATATGGCTAGATGTCCACCTGCTAACTTAGGAGGCAGAGAATGATAACTGTGAGGAATGAATCACATAAAAGAATGTTTAGGAAGTGCCTAGCCCTGTGGGTGATTTGGACGGGGAGGTGTGTGGCAGGTGGGTTTGGTCCAGGGAGGGGTGAGGCTGGGCTGCCATTTGTGCAACAGCATTACCATCAGCAGAGGGAAACACATACCTGCAGAAGAAGAAAGTGTGCAGGAAGGGGGATGTGATCTGAGTACATGCGTGTTGGATTGGAGAGGGTCAAAGGCCGAGGCAGTTAAGTGAATCTTACCCTGGGAGGCTGTATCTTGGCAGTCAGCCGTGAAGAGTCTCTCTGAATCATGAACCCGAGACAGCCACTTCCTCAGGAAGTACCCAGGCCTGGGAGGCCTGAGGCCTCTGGGTTCTGATCTCAAGTCAGTGCCCGAGTTGCTGTGTGACCCTGAGTCAGTTCTAACCCACTCTGGGTCCCAGGTTTCCCGTATGAACAACATTGAAAGCATGTGTGTGTTGGTGGGAAGGTGGATGAAATGTTTCCAAAGGTCTTCTCCAGGTGTGTTATGCTTTAGTTCTATGACCCTGAGTCCTTTTTAAAAAAAGTCGAATCCTGTTTCCATCCCTGACTTACTGTGTGGCATTGAGCCAGCTGCTGGACCTCTCTGGGCCTATTTTCACATCTGGAATATCAGGAGATTGAGCAGGAGACTCTCCAATGTCCAATGATTGTCCCTGGAGGACGCTCACCCTCATCTTCAGCAGAATGCTTCAGACAAATCAGAGGAAAGTGAGGCGCTGGTCACAGACGACCCCCCCTTCCAAATCTTCCGTCTTCTCCCACTGCCCTCCCCTCCCTACTGTCAGGAGCTTGCAGCACTGGCTCTCTTGCCAAACTTGTTGCCATGACAACGGGTTACAAATAACTCAGATGCAGACAAAGATTTTAACCCAAGAGCTGCTGGTCCAAGGGCTTCTAGCTCCCTCCCCACACCAGACTGAGGGAACAATCTGACATATTCTTTGGGCTCAAGTGACTTTCCTGATTACAAGCCTGCTAGGGCTCAGTGTCACAAGACTAAGTCCCAGTGTCTGAGGCTCTCCTAAAACCTGATTCAAATCTTCCCAATCACATTTCCCACTTGCTCCCATTCAAGAGTGATCACTCCTATTTTGAACACCTACTGTCTGCCAAGGCCTGTGTTGGATGCTTTACACACAGTAGCTAAGAAATCTTCCCAGAACTCTATCAGATAGGCATTATTATTCCCATTTTGTAGAGGAGCAAATCGAGGCCCATGGATGTGACTTGAGTAAGGAGGTCAGAGAAGTCAGAATTCAAACTCAAATGCATCAGATTCCCAAACCCAGGCTTTTTCCATTGCCAGTGGTTCACAAATGTTGGTCTACACACTTGGGGCATATCCAGATAATCTAGGGCAGCTAAAAATTCAGATTCTAACTTCCCTTCAAGAAGGTGGAACACATCTGTCTCCTCTAATTCCTGAGACCCTATAAAATAAGAGTAAAGGAATCGTGTACAAACGCCCATCTCCAAAAAAAGCTGGACGAGGTCCCGTTGATGGGGGTGAGATTTCACCAACTTTCTGGCAAGCAGAAAGAGGCTGGAGCGATGGTAACTGAGAAAGCAGGACAGGGAAGGGTAGAGGCACAGTCCCCATGGGGGAGGGGGACCCGCGAAGGAGAGCCCTGGTCTACCCTGCAAAATCCTGGCGAGGCTCTGGCACAGAAGAGCTATCCTGATGGTAGGCATGACACGTAGAGCCCCCGACAGGGGGAGAATTCAGAGTATGTTGGAACAGTTGACTCCCCCACCCTCCCTCTGCCCTTCCCCATGTGTGTCGGCAGAAATCAGAAGAGCCAAGCATCTGCACTTAAGCAATATACAGAGGGTTTCTTAAAGAAATCAAACAGTTCCAGAGCAAAGCCTCCACTTTCCAGACTTAGGAGTCCTCCAGCAGAATATGTGGGTCCCCACCCACTCACCTTAAAGGAAAGTCTAGTAGTGGACTTGACCAACCTCTGCGTCTTACACAGGCTCCCAACCAATCAACTTTCTATTGGTTTCTTCTTAAATCAATGGGCTGGCAAGTTTGAACATCTGTGAAAAACTATGCTAATAGCGTTATGAACAAACTGATGAAGTGTGCCCATCTCAAGTGAAAAAAAAAATACCAAGCAATTATTAAGGTTAGGAACACACAAAAAAAGGCAAAATAAATCCAGGTCATTATAGTTACATTTCTTGGCTCTGTGGCAACAACTGATTTACTAGAAATTGGGATATAAACATACTGGATGAGTAAAGGGAGGGGATATAGGGATGTGTGTGTGGAGGGGGATAAAATGCTCTTCTACTATAAGGAGATGTCAAGAGATAATGTCTCAAATTGCTAAGTTAAGAAATAGTAGACATATAATATTGTATGTCAACTATACTTCAATAAAAAAAAGAAATAGTATAAACATATTATATAGAAACATGGTGGTCCTTCAGTTAAAAATCCTTTCAGCTACAAGCAACACAAAACCAACATGACAGTGCCTTGAACACATATGGCTTTATTTATTCCTTCATTTATTTATTTTTAAGGAAGTTAATTTATTATTAACAACAGCGTGGCATGGGTTCAACTGCTCAATGATGCCATCAGGGAACCAGGCTCTAACTTTTTCTTCCTTCATGTGTTGCGTCTTCACCCTCATGTTCATCCCCTCACTGTCACAAGATTGCTGTCACAGCTCCAGGCAGCACAACTCTAATCAAGGCAGAGAGAAGAAGGAAAGGGACAGTGTCAGCTCTGCGTGTCTCGGAAGGCAAAAGCCTTTCCAGAAGCGCCCCCCCCCCCCCCCCCCCCCGCAGCAAACCTCTCAGGGCTGTAACTGGGACATATAACCTTCTCTAGCTGCAAGGAAGCTTAAGAAAGTATCTGGCTCTTCATCCTCTGACTGGGAGATGACAAAGGGGAAGGGGGCTGGGAGTGGTAAATGCCAGAAGAAACAGCCAAAGACTGGTAAAATCGTTTCATGTAGTTGCCTCTGGGAAGCAGGGGCTTGCAGTGGGAGGAGACAGCGTATTGCTGGGTTTTCTTGTGAGCTGTTCAGCAATTCTGTATTGTTTTAAGCATATGCAAGTGTTACTTTGATGAAAAAATAAAATTTAGAAATAAAGTGTTATGGTTTCTCTGAAAGAAACATATTAAAAACAAACAAAAGCTGGTAGCAGTATTCTGTCTCCAGAGGAAAGGACATCAATTCACCTTGGAAGCAAATTTAGCAGAATAAGTCTGTTACTTAGACTAAGGTATCTCGGGTATCCACCCCCTGATCTTAGAGAGAATTGTGCTATCACCATTAACCATAACGTGACTGGTGGAAACCAGTACAACACCGTGTAGCACTTGCATGGGGTGGCTGTGGTTAGACAGTCCTGGCGCAATTTCCTGTCTGCCATTTATTAGCTCTGTGACCCTGACTGAGTGACACCTGGAAGCCTCACTTTCCTTCTTCACGAAATGAAGGTAATTCAAGTGCCAGGTACAGAGTAAGCATTCAGCAAATGTCATCCACTCTGATTCAAATGTTAAATGTTCTGAGCAGTGACATAATTTGGGTGTCCTTTAACAGCATTCTGCTTCCACTCAGTTTGTTTTTTATCCCAAACATGGGTTTGGACCGGACCGTCCCTGAAAATTATTTGTTCCTGAGAGATACGTGTGCATATCTTTGCCCAGATCTTTGCTCACAGGAGACAACTCAGTTTGGACCACATCAAGAGAGATGCCGGCTTGGATTGCTATTGGCTTCTGTTGAAGAAAAGGTTGCAAAAAAGGAACTAGACAGGATTGTCATTTTCACCATATATATTATTTGATGTTAAAAACAATCCACTCTGTGAGATGTGCTGCTGACTATTCTGATTGCCTCTTGTAGGCCTGGGAGTGGGGAACAGAACAATGACCTCCTCTCTCTGATGACAAGGTGAGAGCTGGAGATCTGAGCACATGGCCAAAAACCATCCAGTTGTTGGATGATCATCTTGCCCACACATGGTATCAGTGCTGGGGGCTAAGAAGATGGACAGCCAGGATGCAGCCCCGTTCAGAGGGGCATGGGCGCCATTCTCTTGGAGAGGTAACATTTGATATCCATTTACAATTTTCCTCCCTGACTCGGTAATTATCATGTAATCCCAAAGACTCCAGTAAAGCTCTATTAAGCACACACACACAGAAGATACTGCATCCATTAAAGAAAAGGATGCTATGAAAAAGGCATCTTTGGAGAATAAGAAAGCTTAGAAATTTAAAATGACTGCCAAAATAAAAAAAAAAAGTACAACAGAAGATACATTCAAGAAAATGTCCCAGACCGCAGAATAAAAAAACAAAGACATGAAAAATATGAGAGAAAATAAAAAGACAAAGACAATCATCCAGGAGATCCAACACCCAACTACTAAGAGGTCCAGAATGAGAGAACAGAGAAAATAAAGGACAGAAAATTAACGAAGAAAGAAAACAGTGTGATTTCTCAGAGGAGAGGAATGAGTCTTCAGATTGGTAGAGCCCAACCACCAGGTGCCCAGCAAAACAGATGGGGGAAAAAAAAACACACTCCTATGCTCATCATTGTGATATTTCAAAAACACGATGGAAGAAAACAGTATGCTTCCAGAGGTGAGGAAAACGTCACCAAGAAAGGAATGAGAATATTAGCACACAACTTCTAATCAGCAGCACTACACGCTAAATGCAGTACCTTCAAAATGCAGAAGAAAAAATATTTTGAACATAGACTTCTAAAGCCCAACTATCATCCACATATGAAGATAAAATAATGCTACATTTTCAGACATGCAAAGACCCCAAATTTTACCTTTCTCAAGAAGTTACTTGAGGATGTTCTCCAACCAAATGCATGACGTCTCAGTCAGGATTCTTGGATGCCAGTAACAGATACTGACTCTAGTTAACTTAAGGAGAAAAGGGACTTATTACTAGGTTATCATGTAGTTCACAGAAGCCTGGAGACACGGAAGCCACAGCTAAGGCCACCCTGGGTGAACAGCCATGTTACAATGCTGCCACTGGTCCTGCTACCCCCACTGCTGCAACCCCTGGATGTCATCCTACCACCACACACCACTATGGATGAACTCTAGCCCTCCTGTCTAGTCCCAGTTATTTGTGGTCAACTTCGGCATTGTCTTACTCATGCTCTTCAATCCATGGCATGTTATTTTCCTCTGTTCATTCAAGGCCCCTCTTTTGCTTTATTTCATTGTATTATTATTTTTCCCTTTCAGTTCCCATCCCCACTCCCATTCTACAGCCCACCTCAGTGAGCTACTCGAGTGTATTTCATGTTTATACACTTCCAAGCCATCTTCCATATGTTTACTTAGATATATGCATACCCATGAAAACAGACAGGGTTGTGTGACTACATAAATGGTGTTCTGCTGTAAATCTCATGTTGTTTTTACCTTTTCACTCAGTGCTAGACTTTGGAGACCTATCTGTATGGCTATAGTAAATTTAGCTCATTTCTTTTTATTGTTTTATATTTCTCATCCTATAAATATACCAGTTTGCTTAACTGGTCCCTTGGTGATGGACACCTAAACTGCTCCCAATTCCTCACTAAACACAAACAACGCTAGAACAAACAACCTCAACTATATTTCCTTAAGGACCTGTGTGAGAATTTCCTAGGGATATATATTCAGGAGTGCAGTTTCTATGTTGTAGGATCTACACAGACTGAACCTCAGGAAGTACTGCCAAATTAATCTCTGGAATACCTGTATCAGTTCATGCTCCCACCCATAATTTTCCTCACATCTTCATCAGTATTTGATAATACCTGACTTTCTGCATGTTGTCATTCTTGTAGCAATTTGTTATTTTAATTTTCATCTTTCTAATTATTAGTGCATTTGAAAATGTCTTAATATATTCAAGTTTCCCCTTGTGTAAATTCAAGATTCTCCTGTCAGTTACTCTTTGTATCATTTGCCCATTTTCCTATTAGGTTTACTATCTTCTTTTTCTAGTTATTAATCTTTTGCCACTTTTGCACATTGCAAATATATTCTCCTAATCTATCATCCATATGTTAATTTTGTATATTCCTGTCTCCCTTGTACTGTTGACTCTAGATTCAAGGCCATGAACAGAGTATTCAACCCTTGTTGCCTGGTGGGTAGGGAAAGGAAGTTTCTGACCTCCTTCAGTTTCCACAGTAGGAAGTGGAGCCCTGCCTCCCACCAGGACTCACGGGAGTGGGGAATCTCCCAAACAGGATGAGGATTTAGATGCCCGGCAGCTGGTAGAGTTCACTTTTTTGGTTGCCGAACATCCACATACACCCTTCTTCCCAAAGTTACTCTACAAAAATGCTTCCACTTACCCTTAGTGCCTCATATAACCCAAAACACACTCATTCCCTCTCTAAAAGGAGACAGCAAAAAAGTGTAAGAATGCTTTCAGATGCAAGCAATATAAAACTCGACTCAAGCCGGCTTAAATAACAAACGTAATTTATTGGCTCACTTAACTGGGAGAAGTTCGTAGGCAGGGAAGACTTCAGGCATGGTATGATCAGGAATATGGTTCCATTTCTCTGTGGTTCTTTTGCTTTCTCCATTTGTCAGCTCCATCCTCAGGTAGGCCTTCTGCATGCTTCTTTGCTACATGCTTCTTTGGTCATATCCAAGGGAAGATAGGCCACCTCTTCCCTCAAAAATGGAACAAAAGTCCTAAACTTCAGTGTGACTGGATCATCCCTGAACCAATCATCACTGTGGCAAGGGGGCGTGACACTCAGATTGGTTTATACCAATAAAGGACTATACCTAGAGCTGGCAGTGGGGTCAACCCCACTCAAATTGTATAGTTGTCATACAATGGGGGAGGAGAGGAATGGATGCTGGAAAACAACCACAAAGTCCACTACAAAGGAGTAAACTAAGAAAGAGGAAGATATGGGGTCCAGGAAAGATTGGGTCCAGCCCAGAAGAGTAATGAAGGGACGTCCCAGGATGACAGTTGTGCTGCAGGCCTACAGAGCAATCAGTCCAAATTGGAGCAGGAAGACGGAGGGCTCCAGGAGGAAGGTATCTGGGAAAAAAGGGGATTCAAATGATTTTATACTTTCCTTGAGAATTTGGAACAACTTAAGAAGGAGATAAAGTCAGACAATGCAAGGAAAAAAGAAAGGCAATTAGAAACTCCAGGGAAAAAAATGCATAAGAAAAGAAATGTAATCCTAGTACACTAATTGGAGCTTCAGGGAACAACATTTACATAATTATAATAACATAAACACTTTATTGACTTTAAACTTTTAGAATGATCTGTCGGCTAAGTATGGATGACTTAATTATGGTTACAGACCAGAATGTAAATGTTATTAATCTTATTAATATAAAAGTATAAATGACAGAAGTTGAGAGGCTGAAAGGAGTATAAGTCTATTATTTAAAGGTACAAAGGTAAGGAATAGAGAATATATAATTAATAATAGAGCTATATTGGGTGCACAGGAGGAGGGTCATTGGGTGATTTAAATAGCAGGAAGTCAACAGACAATGTCTAAAAGTGATAAATAAGTTGATAAACAGAAAAATCTGCATATTATTTAGAGATATTAAGATAATTACCAGAAAAATTAAAAACAAACCGTTATCGACCAGATTTCCAGGTCAAGATGGCAGACTTACCATGTGTTTATCTCCACTCCCACCTGAGACCTTGTTAAAATGATAGTAAAGGAATTTAAAAAAAGGTATAAAAACACAATGATGAAGAGAATGAGAGCAGGTCCATCAGCAAAAGAGAGATTTCAACACATTTTTGGAAGATAGAAAGTAATGGAGGAATGGTAACTGATGGAGCATGGTGGAGGAAGCCATAGCCTGGAGTATGCATGGAGATGATGCCATCGAGGAAGGAGTTGATCTTTCTTTGCAGAAGCCTGGAGTGTCTTGGGTCTTAACAATGCCAGGTATGATATAAAGTGGGAGTGAGATGTTGGGCTGAAAACAGGGAGATTAATTGGAAGGCTGTATATCTAACCATTAACCCACCCCTTGTGTACAGTTCACAGCAGCCAAGTGTCTACCCATTAGGCAAAACCCGGAGGGTTCTTAACTAAGGAAACCGAACAACCTCAGAGAAAAGATCTTTGTATTCTGGCATTTGGGGACTCTGCAGCATAGCAGTCATGTTCTCCTCCAATCATCTTAAAGGGAAGCCACCAGTCAACTAGCACTGTCCCCCATACACAGAGCTTCCAATCAAGTATTTGTTGCTACATTCCTAAATATGAGTATATGACCATGGATTACCAGGCATTTGAGAAATGACCGCAAATTAAGAGAGACCAAAATAAGCAAACAGGGTAAAACGAACCTCAAAGGAAACAGATATTTTTTAAAAAAAGAAAAAATATATAAAAAATACCTCTATTGTACCCAGAGAGTCAAGCTACTAGTGCATCCATTAAACAAGAACAGGATGCTGTAAGAAAGGAAAAGGAACATGAATGGGTATTTGGAAAATTTTTAAATTTATTGTCAAAATGAAAAGAAGTAGAGATAGAAGAGTTGAAAAATAAAAGTTCAATCTTCTCCCAAAAGGAAGAGCAGGAGAGAACTAGGAAGCGAGGGAGGGAAAACGAGATTGAGGGAGAGAACAAATAAAAACTACAAAAGATCAATTCAGAAGGAGTTCCCAGAGAGAACAAAGAAATCGGAAGGGAGGAATGTATTAAACAAATAAGAGAATTCCCCAGAGTTAAAGAACTTCAGAATGAAGGAACCTAACCAGTGACCAACATAATGAATGACAAATCCCCAAACCTAAACACATAATTATAAAATTTCAGAACACCAAGAATATAATTTTTTAAAAAATAACTATTTAAAGTGGGGGCGGGTGGGTGGGTGGAGAGTACTTTTCCCTATTTCTCTCCCCAACTACAGCTAAAATCCTGGGGCATTGTATATAAACCTAAGAAGACTCTGAGAAGTGAAGAGAAGGCAAACATGCTAGAGACCTTGGCGCAGAGAAGTGACACAGGGGTGAGTTCCCTCGGTTTGCTTTTTGACTTGCACACCCCAGACTTGGTGCTAGAGAAAGTGTCAATTAGATAACTCCACTCCTGCCCAACACTACAGAAAACACTGTGGTCCCACCAGCAAATGCCAGGTGGGGAGCTTAGACTTCTACCCTCGCTGGCTCTCAAAAGTCACTCCTCTCCCCTCCTGCTGGGGTGGTATCAGAGAAGGTTGAGCAGGGAGCAGCAACTCCCATCTCCCCACCGAAGAATAATGAGGAAACCCTCCTTCTGGATTGTCGACAGAGACTGAGTGGGGAATCCTAGACTTCCATGCCCGCCTGGCAGTAATGAGGCAGTGTCCCCTCTTTCACTGCTGGAACAGTGTCTGAGGAAGCAAGCTGAAACAGAATGCCCAGGTTTCAACAGAAAATTACTCATCATACCAAGAACATCTCAACTTGAAATGAGAAAAGACACTCATTAGACTCCAACACTGATATGTTAAAAATTATCTGACAAAGGTTTTTAAGGAGCCATCACAAAAATGCCTCAACGTACAATTAACAACATGCTTAAAGCAAATTAAAAAATAAAACTGTCAGCAAAGAAACAGAAGATAAAAAGAAGAATCAAATGGAAATTTTAGAAGTGAAAAACACAATAACCAAAACAAAAACCTCAATGGATTGGGCTAACATCAACTTGCAGACAGAACAATAGAAATTACCCAATCTGAAAGACAAAGAGAAAACAGACCGGAAAAAATAGTGAACAGAACCTTAGGGATCTGTGAAACTGTAACAAAAGATCTAATATTTGTGTCATTGAGATCCTGGAAGGAGGGGGAAAAAACAAAGATGTATGGAAAGTTACCTATAAAGCCATGAGACTCAGACTGTTTGTTATCAGACTGTTTCTCATCAAAATTTGACACTAGAAGAAAGTGGAGCAATGCCTTCAAAGTTCTGTGGGGAAATGATGTTGAACCTCAAACTTTATAGCCAAATATAAAGATGGAATAAATTTATTTTCAGACATGCAAAGACTCGGGAAGTCTAACTCCTACAAACTTTTCTGAGAAAGTTACTTGAGGATGTGCTCCATCAAAACAATGACAAAAAAATAAACAAACAAAACAAAAACTCTGGGAGCCAGCAAATAGTGGATCTAAGCAAGGAAAGCAGTGAAGGAAGGTCCTGAAATGACAGCCCATGCATCAGGGCTAGAGAGCAACTAGTTCAGATTTGAGAAAGAGTATAAGGGGGCTCCAGGAAGAAGGTATCCTGGAGGGGGAAAAAAAAAAGTAGGCTTGATGGAATATTTAATGTAATAGAGATTTTTGAGAAGAAAAAAATTGGAACATATTATAAAGTAAAACAGCGAAAGATAAAAAGAGAATTAGAAACTTGAGGGAAAAAATGAAAAACTACAAGGAAAAATTATAAAAAGTACATTAAATGGCTTCTTCAGTGAACAATATTTAGTCATATTAATTGCTTACCACTTTTCAACTTTTCAAATCAAACTATCAAACTACAGACAACACGCATACCATGATTACAGAATTCAATGTTATCAACTTTGACAATATATAAGACCAGATGACAGAAGCTGGGGAGGTTGACAGTGGAGAAGGGGGCAAAAAAGAAAAGACATTCTCATCTAACAAAAGTTCTGGTCAAGAAATATTGCCTCTAAGTCATGGAAAATGAAATAAAGGTGTTATTTAAATTCAGAGAAGTAGTACAGAAACTAAATTATATGAGAAGTGGGGAAGACAAGAGTCGAACTTGGTGTGATCTAAATCATTCGTCATAGCAGGACACCAATGGATTAATGTCTGAAATTGATAAAAGACAAATGCTCACATAACACAATATTTAGATATGGAGGTCACAATCAGAAGAAATAACTGAAAGTGGTTGCTAATAATGAAAAGTGGTAGGGTGGGAGTGGGGCTGTAGAACTCACTTTTCATGTCCTTTTGTAACTGATTTAAGTTTATTGATTTGTCTTCTAAATAATGTGCCTACATTACTTCTATTTTAAAATGAACATGTATTTAATTTTTAAAAACACAGAAAAAGGACACTCCTGCCCACCACTTCCTCCCTCCAAATTCCCTTGTTCCTGCAGACCTAATGGCAGCAGAATAGAATAAACTTCGGGAAACTTGCAGTCTCCCTTCCTGGCTCTCCCTTACATGCAGCTCTTCCGCAGTCAAACTGCAAGCTTTGTTAGTCTGCAGTCGCCTTATTTACCCCCACCTCCTGGCTTGTTTTCATCTCCCAGGCCTGGAAAGCCCTTACTCCTCATCTCTATCAGTTGGGATCCTAATTATTTTTCAAGGCTCAGCTCAAATTCCTCCTCCAAAAAGTCTTCCTTGGTCCCCTGGTAGAACTTTTTCCTCTCTCCTCAGGGACTCTGAAGTCTTCATTCGTGGCTCAAATTATGACACATGTTCTCTCTCCAAGTATATTACTTGGGTCAGTATCTCATGCCTGCAACCATCTTTCACCGGTGTGAAAATCACCAGAGTGATCTTCCTAAAATACCAATCTGACTCCGTCACTTCCCTGCTTCAAACCCTTCTACAGCTTCCCATTGCCCATAGGGTCAAAGCTAAGCTCAACTGCCTGGCTTCCGCCACTTCTTCCACCACATGAGACAATGCCCATTCCCCCCAAAATCCATGCACTTCCACACTCTTCAAAGAACTTTGCTTAGGCAGCTCTTCTGCTTGGAACGTTCTATAGCCCCTTTCTACATGGTAAACACCAACTCTTCCTTCAAGATTCAGTTCAAACGCCCCTTCTCTATAAAGGCTTGCCTGAGTACTCCCTCCATCCTTCCCCACCCCACAGAGGAATGGTCCTATAGTCTCACCCTGCCTCATCTAGATTTCTGCTGTATAATCTCTCGCCTTTGGTGCACTCACCTGCTTACTTATCTGCGTCCCCAATTAAACTATGAGTTCCTAGAATTCGGGGAGTATATCTCATCCCCAGAACCTAGCATGATGCAGGAACTCAATGTATGCTTGTGGACCAAACGGGTGCAAAAATGATGACTGAGTGGATCCGAGAAAGAACAAATGAGCTAACAAATGAGTGAATGCTTATATCACTGCCTGAGTGCAGGAGTTAATATGTGAAAATGAGTGAGTTCTCCATGAATAGGTGAACAAATGGACGATGAGTGGATGAATGAATGAGAAAAAGAAGCCAGTACGTAAATGAATGAGAAGTGCTGTGCCAGTGAGGATGTGAGAGAAAGAATGAGTGAATTCCCACCTGTGTCTTGTTTAAAACCCACCTGGAAGACCTTCTGCCCTGCTTTCCACCCATCTATAGTGCACACCACAGTGTTAACTTCTTTTAGATTACAAGAACAGACACACTCAGGTTAGTGATGGAGATTTATTGAAGCATTCATAGGGAAATAAGGAAGACAAAAACAGCTACACAGGCAGCCTCATGGAGGAACAGAAACTCAAAAATGGTTCATGATCCAAAGCAGCTCTAGAGCCTGGCTTATCTTGTCACCCCCTCAGCTGCAGGCATCTGTTGCTCCCTTCTCTAGTGCTTCCCAAAATGGTGACTCAACTTCTTTCTGGCTGTATTTATACTCCTCCTACTGCTACTTAGACTACCTTTCTTTCTTTTTTTTCCTGCTACCCTCCTCGCTAGCACTTGGCCTTCGGGGGCCTCACAGCTTCTTGGCCTCCTGGCTCCTGCAGCTTCCTGGCTTCTGGGGCTTCGGTTCTAGTTCATCCAGGGCTTCTCTTGTGTTGCAGCTTCTGTTTGCTGTCATTCCTGCAGCCTCTTCGATTCCTGTTGCCTTGCTACCTTGTGGCTCTGAGAGTCTCACTGCTTCTGCTGCCTCGTGGATCTTGTCTGTTCAAGCCTTCTGCTGCTTCGTGGATCTCACATTCAGGATTTTGTCTCATGGTTTCTGTTCCTCGTGGCTCCTGCTACATTGTGGCTCCTATTGCTTCATGGCTTCTGTGTCCTTTTGGCCCATTGTTGTCTTGCTGCTTCATGGCTTCTGCTACCTTGTGGCCCCGTGTTCTCATGATATAAATGTTTCATGGTCCCTGCAGCTTTCTCCTTGCTTTTGCTGTTCAGCTTCTGGCACCCCTCATCCACCACCACTTCTGTCTTGCTAAATGCTAATTAATTGTTCACTTCCGAATGCCTCACGTTTAGCCTCCCTGGAGGCCATTTGATACAGGCCATCCCTATGAGGTGGAGTTCTTATATCCGTCCACCTAATAGGCTATAGCCTAGAGATTGGCTGTCCTTGAGTCACATACTATCCCAAACCATTTGTGGCCAGGATTGTGAGGTCACATGGTACAGAGCATGGCAACTCGTGCTTAAGAAACCCCTTAGAAGGGACTGTGGGCATGGCAGGTTTGCTGAGGGTTTCCAGAAGGGGGCAGTGTAATTGGCAAGCTTCTTGCTTGGCCTGTCCAGTACACTGACCTTCAAGGCCAACCTTAGTCCCACCTTCTCCCTGGCCAC